TGGGGAGGGAGGCGGCAGGTAGAAGAGCAGAGGTCAAACAGAAGACAGGCTAGGTGGGTGAAGAACTGCATAATGACTAATAGAAGAGGTTGAAGGTCTGGCGGTTCAGGGAGGTCACAGGTCAGGCAAGCTGTGGAGGCAGGTGGTTCAGACAGGTCACAGGTCAGGCAGGTGGCAAACAGAGATCAAGGATGAAAAACAAGAAGAGGAAAGGGACAGAGATAGGAACATACAAGGACGGGGGAAGGAGAGAAAATTAGGAGCAAGTAAGGAGATGCAAGTGAGGAGGGTCAGGGTAGCTCCCCTCGTACCCCAGCGATGACCTGAGCTGATTATCAGAGTGAATGTTTTTGGCATTTTTGACTTCTCTTCCTCCCCTGAACGAGAAAATAGTTTATTTTCACTTGCAAACTTCAAAATACATATTTTTCCCTCATGAAATCTGTAGGTTTTGTATGTGAAGAAGGCAAGGTGTCTGTTATGTAGCTGACAACTTGGAAGTGGTTGCCTGTATAGACCTTACAGCTGGCCATATCATTTTGCCTCCTCTCATTTGACCTCTGAACAATCCTGGGTGCTGGAGAGGGCAGGCAGCATCATCTCCATGGACTGCTGAGCTCCTCCTGTGTGTGCAGCACCAAATGTCAAGTGTGGCCATGTTCCCAAGCCTGGCATGCTCTCAAGAAGCCCTGTCCTTCCTTCCAGTCCCTGGAGACCCAGCCTCCTTTCCTAGCCCTGAAATTTGGCCCTCCCCTTCTCCCTACTCACCTGGTAGCCCTGGCAGCAGGGTAGGATGGAGGTTCTCGATCCTCTCTTTCTTCCTGCACAAGAAATAGTTCCTTTACTTTTTGTATTTTGTACCTCTTCACTCCAGAGAGCCAAATGGAGTATCAAAAATACCAACACACAGTGTACCTATGTTCCCGAAATGCCACTGTATTTGTATAGCCTGTAGAAATAGGGTGGGGCTGGCACTTTCCTTGCACTTTCTCTGAGATCCTTCTCAGACTTCTCCCATGGATATTTCTCAGGTTCTTTTTACCACTACCAGAGCTTCTTCCCACCTCCTGATAGCCTTGGTCTCCTGGAGGTTGGCTGTGGATGTGGACATGAAGAAGACTAGTCTAGTCTACAGTATCTTAGGACATATTATTGACCCTGTGCTGTGTGCTGGGTGTTATAGGAGCAGGTTCAGCAGGCCCAGCTCAAAATAAACTGTGATAGAATTTCCATAGTTCTTCCATGGCTCAGTCTGCATGCCCTCCTCTATCATTATATTACGTCACACTTCATGATATGCAATAAGTAATCAGGACAAGGGAATTGATATCCTACAAAGATATCATGCCTCTAATCTGGAGATAGAGGTGGAGACAGCATACCTCTAATCTGGGGAGTTTTTGTCTGTGGGAATTTAATGTTGTGTATTTTGTGACATACAACACCTGACCATTATTACTTGGGATTGTCCCAGGTAGACCTGGGTGCCCTTCATGCTTGGCACCAAGGTTCTCATAGAGAGAGTCATCTATGTCATTGGCAGATGACCACCAGAGCTGCAGGGAATATACATATCAAATGGGGAAAGGGTGAAAGAAACCAGTTCAAAGGATTTAGACTGTCATATTTTACAAAAGGGGTTGCAGCCATCATTGGGCATTTGTGTCCATAGATAAGGAAAGGGGTTGCAGCCATCATTGAACATTTGTGTCCGTAGATAAGGAAAGATAGCATCTTCGAAAGCTGTGGTAGCATATAACCAGGACAGCGGGGATGCCAAGGGAGGCAGGTCACGGCATGTTTGAGATAGCTCTTCCATGCTTAATCTACCCCATTCGCTTTGAGTAGTCTCTCCAGACCTCCTTCTCCTCGATATTCCTTATCTTGGGACTTAGACTGTAGAGCGAATTGGAGCCTTTTTATTGAACACTATTGAACTACCAAGGAACATAGAAAAAACAAACTTTTCTTTGGGGAGACAAAGGGCATTTATATTTAGCTTGTCTGCCTTTAAAATTGAGAATTAAGAATAGAACATAGAAACTTTACTAAAACAGTGAAATAATAAGGGAAAAGCGTTGGGAGAGAAGAGAAAGAGATGATAAGAAAAAAAAAAAAACAGGAGAGGAAGAGGGAGAAGGTCGAGGAGAGCAGGCGAGGGAAGGACAGAGGCTGAAGCGCAGAGTGTGGGAGGGGGGAGTTCGTACAGAGAAGGACCGAGACAAACAGGCCAAGGTCAAGAGTGTGGCGTAGGCGCCGGAGATCTGGATTCTTAACCTGTAAAAATCTCACATCACATGTCATGCTTAGTTGGTGAAATATTGAAAGGAACCCCCGAGGTCAGGAATGAGACTAGGATGACTACTATCACTACTTCCATTTGACCTGGTCCTCCCGTACTTAGCTGGCAGAGTGAGGCGGACAAACACATGCAGGGAAAGGAAGAAGTAAAACTTAACTAGTCACGGATGACATGATTTGTGTGCACAGAAATTCCCTGGGCGACTTCAGCAAGGTCTCTGGGTACAAGGTCAATCTACAAAAATCAATTGCATTTCTATGTGTGAGCACAAATAAAGGGAAATGGAAATTTACAAAGTGATGTGTTCAATTACATAAAAAACTTCAGATGCCTTACTGAGTTCGGGCCACAAGAACAACACTAACAGTCACGATACTGGGGGCAGCAGCAGTAGCTAGGGGTCGCTGAGTACCTGCCATGTGGCAGACAGTGTCCTAAAGCTTTACCTGGATTCATTCTTGTCACCTTCACAACCATCCTGTAACATTTGTGATGAGGATTCAGTGAGGAAATGTACCTAAGACACTTAGCAAATTTCCTTGCATGTAATAAACGCTCAATAAATGTTAGCTATATAAAGACAAGCATGATTTTAGAGAGATGCATAGACCCCGTTAATAGAACGAAGCTGCTATTTATTTGGTTTAAGATTTGTAGAACAGTCACACATTATTGTTGTGTGTGTGTGTGTGTGTGTGTGTGTTTTAATTTTAAGCAGCTCATGAATTCATTTATTCAGCCAGGTACTGCTCCTGGATCTAGAAATATAATGGGTAACAAAATAGGTAAAATCCATGCCCTAGTGGAGTTTACAATTTATGGGGGAAAATAGAGATTCATCAAATGGTCTCACAACTATGAAAATACAGCAAAAAAAAAAAAAAAGGAGTTAAAAGAATGTAAAAGGGGGGGATGAGGTCTGGGCCACAGAATGAAAAGGGACTTTGATACAAAAAAATCACAGGTGAGCTGAGTTTAGAAGGATGTAAGTGGTACAGGGGCAGGGATAGGAGAATGTTCCATGGAGAGGAAGCAGTCTGTTTGAAGGGGATGAAGGTTGTAGGTGAAAGGAGAGCTGGGCATGTTTCAGGGTTTGAAAAAAAAATGTCTGAGTGGCTGGAACTCAGAGAATGGGAGGGTTGTTGTGTGAGTAGGACAGGGGACGGGCGGTCTTTTTCACAGTTGTCCTAAGAACGGTGGAGTGCCCTGTGGGGCTTCATGCAAAGGAATGATGTGGTCAGATTTGTGTTTTGAAAATATTTCTCCACTGAGGAGGGTACTGCTGTAGTCTGGAAAAATACGGGAGTGTAACCCAGGCTCGGGCACCAGCAATAGAGAGAGGAATTAGTGGGAAGATGTGTGAATTGTTTAAGGGGTAGAATTGATGAGGTTTGGAATTAGCTTGGGTGAGGGAGGAGGGATGCCGCACTAATACTTCCCCTCCTAGCATCTGACTTGAACTGGTGACTAGGAGTGACATTCACTGAGGTGAGGAAAGCCTTTTCTTCACCATTAAATGGCTTTGCTAATTTTATAGTGAAACTTGAGAAGATATTTGAAGTATTTACTTTCCTGTGGAAATTTGAATATGTTACTCATAGGGAAAGGCTGAAGACATTGATTTTGGAAGCTTAGAGATGTTTACTCTTTGTTTCCCCTTTGACTTTCAAAAGATGTCAAATTGTTCTATCTTTAGTCTTAAAAAAAAGGCAGGGATATCAAGCTTCTAAATTCCTAAAGGTTACATTTAGAACCAGTCTCTCACTGTCCCCCTTCCATCAAATATATTTCTCCAGTCTGAGAAACGGAATGCATCCAGTGCAGAAATCTGTACGTCTTAACTTCTCTTTGTGAACCTTTAGGTCTCTTCTCCCTACATCACCAAGCAGTTAGACAGGAGAAAGTAATTCTTGGGGTTGGGAAGTTATGGCCTAATCCCGTGATTGTCCAGACTGGGTTATATTAAGACCTAGCTGCTCTGATGTTTTCTGCCTCCGGTTAGAAGGTCTTTGGCAGATCGAGTGGGGCTAGGAAAGACTTTCACATCTCTTGGTCAAAGCCTTCCCTTAATGCTAATGGTTCTGGAGTTGATCTGAACAGGCCTGTGAAAAGGGCCGAGTTGGCCCAGGTTCCCCAGGACTGATTGGGTCCCCTCGGGCCTTGGCATTATCTTAGAGAAGACCTGAGGCAGATCAGAGTTTGAGCCTTCTGGACTTCCTTCCATTTTTATGTAGCAGAAACTAGCCCGCAGGAATGCCCGAAGGGATGAGAAGGCACTAATGATTTAGTCAGAGGGGAATGTGAAGTTGGAGGGCAATCCCATAGTCTGATCCTTTGCTTAGGTACTGGATAGGGGGTGAGGGGTGTGGCCTGATGGTGGCTCTTTGTGTGTGTGTGTGTGTGTGTGTGTGTGTGTGTACCACCCTCAGGGTCACTCTCCCACAGTTTCATCTCTGTCTCACAAACACATGCACACGAGTGTCCTCAGTCTGTGTCCACCTCTCTGTCAGAGCCTAGCAGCCTCCTTGGCATAGGGGAATGGTAATAGGACTTCAGGTGTTGTCTGAGTTTCCTGCAGCTCCTAGACTCTGAGGCCAGAGTGAAATCTGAGCATGGGAGCTCTCTCGGGCTGCATCTCTCAATCCCTCCCCCCATCCCCTGCCAAAAGCCTGACTCTGCCCTGTGTTCCTTCCTGCAGCATTCCACTTCGGTTAGCATCATGGGGTTTTCCAACACGCTGGAGATGGAGCTGTCATCTACCAGGCTGGCAAGGACCCTAGAGCCACAGATCCAGAGTGTGAGCAGCCTGACTGCTGCACCTTCCCACATGGTCCCAAGCCTGCTGAGTGGCACGCCCACAACTGTGTCCGGCCTGATGAGCGGTCAAAACCAGGCTATGCCCAGCCTGACAGCCAGTCATCTGCAGACCATACCCAGCCTCGTACGCAGCGTGCCCCAGCCCATGCCCAGTCTGATGAGTGATTCCTCCCAGGCCATCCCAAGCCTAGCAAGTGATCACTTGCAGGCCAGGCCCAACCCGATGTCCGGTCTCACCCAGACTATGCCGAGTCTGGCAACTTGTCCTCTGCAGAACATGCCTCCAGCAGCTGACATGCAACCTGAAAGTGGCTCCAGCTGCAGTCCTGGCTCTGGCCGAGCTGGAGGGAGCCTGTGCCCTGCTGATGTGGCTGACCCCTCTCTTGGGAATGCCCTGTGTAAGGTAAGTCCCGGGGAAATGACATTCAACTTCCTCTGCTCATCACTGGGCAACAGGGTGGCCCCTGAAGGGCTTATCCTGGCCTTAACTTCATAGCTCTATGACTACTAACAGCAAAACCGCTTGATTTCTTTGATTCTTGTTGGCCTTTCGCTTTTGAAAGATGGAAAATGAGGATTCTACCCGCTTCACTGACTCTCTGGGACAAGACCCCACAACCCTGGGTCTGGAGGTTTCCAAGGATTTGGCTATGCCTGCAGAATTGGAGGAGCCAATTAACCTCTCTGTGAAGAAACCTCCACTGGTCCCAGCGGTCAACACATCCATGGCTCTGCAGCAGTACCGGAACCCAAAAGGTGAGGCACAAGTCCGCAAGCAGCCTGTCACTTGTGCTGGCCATAGATGTGAGCTCAGCACTCCAGGTCAGATGCAGGTCAGGAGACAGGCTCGAGGCAGGAGGGAGCAGCGTTTCTCTCAGGCTCAGTTCACTTCCTCCCTCCAGAACTGACTTACTGGGACCTGTTCTGTTTCCCTCACTGTGGCTGGGACTTAGCCTTGTGTAACATTTCCATGCAAAAAGTTCTGGAGGTCTGGGTCAGAGGCGGGGGAGGCAGGAAGCACTCATCTCAGAAGGGCTAGCCTTGGCAAAATATTTTAGGGAAAAGAGCATATCTGACTTTGGAGTCAGGTATATGTCACTTAGAAAACCAGTTCTGTCTTTTTATGTTTGACCTTTCTGAGCTGGTTTCCTTCTCTGTAAATGGGGCTAATCGTAGCTACTTCATAGACCACTGGGACAAATAACTACAGTGAGATCATTTGATGACTTTCTCTGTAGTAAGGAGAATTGGCCTTGCTTTCCCTCGTGCCCGGCAGTCCCGTGGATTTGTGTTGTGCCCCAGGGTAAAAGGAATTTGGACCAGTGGACAATGGCTCTGATCACACCACCTCCTCAAGTGGGGCTTCCTTTCTTCTGTCATAGGCGAGGGCTAGTCAGGGAGTTTGAAAGCAACCGAGTGAGGAATTGGGACTTTTTCTGTTTAGTGTATGATACGTGTTTAGTCTGTAATCATCACTCTATTTCCTATACCTTTAATAAACAAAAATGAAATAATTTTTCTCCATGTTTTTTCGCACTGACTGAAAGACCAACTGAACAATATTGGTTCTTATTAACTGCATAGTAATGGGACTCTAAATTTTAAGCAATTAAATGTTTTGGACGCTGCATGCCCATGGAAAGTGCTTAGGACAGTGCCTGGTGCTGAGTGGGTGCTTGGTAAATGCTAGTTTCCTCCTTCCTCCCCACACCGCCCGCTGCCCATCTACACAGGCTCTACCGCACCACTCAGGGTAGGGCTGCAGGGAACCTTTTGCCTATGGAGTCTGAACTAGACTCTCAGGCAGTACTAAAATCCCAGCACTTGGCTGAAAATGCAGAGGCTGGACAGAATGACTGCTGAGAGCATGTAACACCAGTATATGGAGAACAAGAGATTTCTGAACTCATTTGGAAGGTGAGGAGCTGGCCCTTCAGCACCTGACCCAATACTCACCCCTAGATAGCCTCTGAATATTATCTGGTTTTTTTAAATTTATTTTTAACTTTTTATTTTATTTTATTTTATTGTTAAAAGATTTTATTTATTTATTTGACAGAGAGACAGAGCCAGAGAGGGAACACAAGTAGGGGGAGTGGGAGAGGGAGAAGCAGGGTTCCCGCCAAGCAGGGAGCCTGAGGCGGGGCCCGATCCCAGGACCCTGAGACCATGACCTGAGCCGAAGGCAGACGCTTAATAACTGAGCCACCCAGGCACCCCTAACTTTTTAAATTTTTAAATATTTTTTAAGTTTTATTTATTTAAGTAATCTCGATATCCGACATGGGGCTTGAACTCACAACCCAGAGATCAAGAGTCGCATGTTCTTCAGACTGAGCCAGCCAAGCACCCCATATCTGTTTCTCTTTTTATTTATTTATTTATTTATTTATTTATTTATTTATTTTTAAAGATTTTATTTATTCCCATTTGAAAGAGAGAAAGAGCACAAGTAAGGGACAGAGGTGGTAGGGGAGAGGGAGAAGCAGGCTCCCCACTGAGTGTGGAGCCTGACGTGGGGCTCAGTCCCAGGACCCTGGGATCATGATGCGAGCCAAAACCAAGAGTTGGATGCTTAACCGACTGAGCCACCCAGGTGCCCCTGTTTGTCTTTTTAAAAGAAGGTGACCTTCTTCCCCTCTCAGGAAGGAGAGCCATGGTAGGATTGCCACCCTTATAAATGATTACAGTGTGGGTAACAATTGTGTGACAGGTGTGTGGCCAACGGTATGAGTAGGACATATGAGTGGAAGGTATGGGTCATACATGTACATCACAGGTGTTTGTCTTTTGCCTTAGAGCATGAGAGTTTTGAGCAAGGAGCCCTGGAGCTGGATGCAAAAGAGAACCAGAGTATCAGGTAACAGACTGTTGGCCCAATCTCCCTCTCTCACCCTCCAACTTCATGTCCTGGGAGGTTGGCACAGGAAGTCAGCAGCCTTGATGACTTAACTAGAAGCGGAAGTTTACTTGCAACAATCTTCTTCAGCTCCCAGACGCTCGAGTAGGATCTGTGTGGTTGGGAGTCTGGGATCTTGTGGGAGCGTATCCTGGCTCCCGCAGCAGGGGGCATGTACTCCATGTGAGGTCCTCCCTCTGTAGGAATTCCCCTTTCTTTGAGCAAAGTGCTCCCCTGGGGCAGGAGAGTGAAACATAGGCCTGCACAGGGTGGGACTGTGATCTGGAGTAGTGGCATGTGGGATCATGGAGGAGCTGACTTAGAGGCTGGGGTCAGAGGAGGCTCCTCCAGAGACCCAGGGGTGTCTCTCTTGCCACAGGCCCTTCAGTAGTGAGCCTAAGATTCCCTACGTGCGGCTGGAACGGCTCAAGATCTGTGCGGCCTCCTCGGGAGAGATGCCAGTGTTCAAGTTGAAGCCCCAGAAGAAGGAGCAGGATGGGAGCTTCCTGCTGATCATTGAGTGCGGCACTGAGTCCTCCAGCATGTCCATTAAGGTACCACTCTGCTCTGTCTTGTCCTTGAACTTGGCCCACCCTGGAAGCCCCTCTTCTCTCTCTGCCTCTGTCAGAATTCCGGCTCTGGCGCTGGCCCTTTCCGGAGTCTGGTGTGCGTGGGGCTGCAGCCTGGCCGGACACAGCCCCCTGGCTGTGAGGGGGCTGTCCCAGCGTTCCCAGGGCTCGGCTGGCCCGGGGGCCTGGTGAGTCTGTCCTCTCCCACCCTCCACAACTTGTCGGTGCTGTGCTCTGACTGCCGACTCCCTTCTTCTCCAAGGTCAGCCAGAACAACCTGCCTGATGCCGTCCAGGCCCCAAGTCTGGGGGGAAGAAAGGTCACTGTCACTTCTCTGGCTGGGCAGCAGCCCCCAGAGGCGGAGGGTGCATCTCCTCAGGAACAAAGACTCATTCCTCGGACCCCTGGAGCCAAGAAGGGGCCCCCAGTACCCATAGAGAACGAGGACTTCTGCGCCGTGTGCCTCAACGGGGGGGAGTTGCTGTGCTGTGATCGCTGCCCCAAAGTGTTCCACCTCTCCTGCCACCTGCCGGCCTTGCTAGGCTTCCCGGGGTGAGCCGTGCGGGCCCTCGCGGGCCGCTCTTCCGGGAGGCCTCTCCCAAGCCCTTGCAGCTCCCTGGGCTGGGCTTCCTCCCCGGTCTGGGCCCCTGTGAACTGCAGGCTGCGAGTCAGCGGCCCCACTGCTGTGTGCCTTGTGCACACCGACAGGCGATGTTTGAGATTTGAGTGGCTTCCTTTCTTCCTCTGTTCCCAGCTTCCTCCTACACACGCAGATTTGTCCCCATACTCCTGTCGCAGCCCCTTGCTGAGTCCTGTGATTTTCTGGATTCACTCCATCCCGAGTTACTGAATTTCTTTCAAGCTGGTGGTTAGGAAGCCATTCCGTACAGGGCAGGGCTAGGGACCGAGTCTCCCAAGCCACTGCGCCTCTGCCGCCTCCCCATCCCCGCTGCCCCGGGTATCTTGGAGCAGAGGGACAGGGGAGGTGGCTCTGGGCCACGTGCTGAGGCCTCACTGGGCCTCACCTGTTTCTGCAGGGGAGATTGGGTGTGCACCTTGTGCCGCAGCCTGACCCAGCCCGAGATGGAGTACGACTGTGAGAATGCCCGCTATTGCCAGCCTGGGACGCGGGCCACCCCTGGCCTGAGCATCTGCGACCAGAAGGTAGGGAGGGGTCTCTGGGGACAGTGTTCCCTGCCTGCGGCAGCCTCCCTGTGCCAGCAGCTGAGGCCTTTCTGAGGTGTTGGGAAGCCTCTCCAAGGTACCTCTCTGCTGGGCGATGCCTGACAGCCTGGCCCGTGGGCGTTTGCAGGGAGCCCCCTCCTGCCAACTATTTTCCTCTGGTCTGGGAGGCTGGGCCCTGCCTTCGCGGGGGGGCCCATGCCCTGCAGGACAGAGCGGACCCTGCTGGAGTTTCCAGGGTCACTCTCTTCAGTCCTTCTTGAGGTGGGGCCAGGGCGAAGTAACCTGCTGCCCTTCTGGTTTCTGCAGAAGTGTGAAAAGCTGGTCCTGTCCTTGTGCTGCAATAGCCTCAGCCTGCCCTTCCACGAGCCCGTTAGCCCGCTGGTAAGGAAGGCTGCCCATTTCTGCCGGCTCCCGAGGTCCTGGGCCGGGGTGGGTCCCAGGGGTACCCAGGGCGGGCTCAGAGCATGGCCACTGGAAGTCGGGTTAACTCGTGCCTGGGCTCGCGGGCCCAGCCGTGGCCACCACAGCCCCCCAGCCCCCGGCCGCTGCACCACACCTGACTGGACAGTGAGCCAGTCCTCCTTTCCCCTTCCCTTTGTCTTCTCTCTGCACTTTCCTTCTTGCTGCTGTTCTCCTTCTTGTGTTCTTCCACTTCTGTTCCACCTCCTTCTCCATCTGCCCCTCCTTATCTGTACCTCCCTTTTTTCTCTCTTCCTGCTTGGCTTCCCCTTCTTTCCTCCCCCAAGGCCCAGCATTACTACCAGATTATCAAGAGGCCCATGGACCTGTCGATCATCCGGAGGAAGCTGCAAAAGAAGGACCCAGCTCACTACACCACCCCGGAGGAGGTGGTGTCCGACGTCCGCCTCATGTTCTGGAACTGTGCGAAGTTTAACTATGTATGTCTTGCCTGTTTTCCCTCTCCCCTATTTCCCAGGGACCCCAAGACTCCTGGCTGGATGGGGATATCAGGTTTGGTCCTGAGTTGCCATGAGGACCTGGGAACAGACTTTCTGCCTCCCCCCCCCCAACCCCGTGAGTGTTTATAAGCGCTCTCCCACACTTGGTTCTCAGCACGGACTCAGGAAGAAGAAGGGGGGAGTGCTAGCGGTTGGCCATCTGTGGGTAACTGTCAGGGCCAATTCTGCTTTGAGAGATGATACTAAACTGGTTATCTTGAGTCTTCAGGAGAAAATGTCCCATTCTAGACTTCCAGGAAACCAGCCAGGCTTTGTGCTCTCCGTAGAGCTCTTGAGGGACCGGGTAGAGATGGGCTGGCGGAAATGGGCCGGACCATCACTGCTCTCCTTCCCCTTCAGCCTGACTCAGAAGTTGCGGAGGCCGGCCGCTGCCTGGAAGTGTTCTTTGAGGGCTGGTTGAAGGAGATCTACCCGGAGAAACGTTTTGCCCAGCCAAGGCAGGAGGACTCAGACTCCGAGGAGGTGTCTAGCGAGAGTGGGTGTTCCACTCCCCAGGGCTTCCCATGGCCCCCCTATGTGCAGGAGGGCATCCAGCCCAAGAGGCGGCGACGTCACATGGTAAAGAGTTGCTGCCAGGTGGTGGGCAGGTGTGGGGGGCAGTTGGGCAGGCAGGGGGCACCCAAGCAGCACATACAGGGCAACCTAAAGCTCGGGAGGCACAGGAGAGTGGTGACAATGAACCCTCGCTCCCAGCCCCTTAGTCCAAGGGGAAGGGAGGGCAGCGTGCGGCTCAGTAAGTCCGATTACCGCTGCGGCTTGAAACTCAGAGAGGTGGATGTACCTGCCCAGGTCACCCAGCAAATTAGCAGCAGAATCAGGGCGAGAAGCCAGGGCTCCCGACTCGCAGCTCAGTGCTGGTTATTCTGCACTGTGATCCCCAGGAGAGGAGAAACACCTGGTCTCAGTGTCTGATCTCAGCTTGGGTTTGGGAGGAAGGAAGGCATATTTCTGGCCCCTTGGTGTAGAGAAGGAGGGAGAGGTGCTGCTCGCAGCAAAGAGCGCTCCTCTGACCTTGGGTCTGGTCCCACATGGGCAGACTCGAGACATCACTTCGGCGCTATTTTGTTCCACTGAACCGCCCCGCCTGGCTGCTGGGTGCCAGGCCCGACCAGCCACCCCCTGTGTGTACCGTGCTTGGCACACCGTAGTGTGTGGTGGCTGTTGCATTCCTGGGCTAGAGCAGAACACCTGGGCTCTGGGGAGCCCCAGTCTGGACACTGGGCCTTGTCACGTTGACAGGTGTTACACTGGGCCATGTTACTGCCACACATTTTTTTTTTTTCCTTTCAGGAGAACGAAAGAGCAAAACGAATGTCCTTCCGCCTGGCCAGCAGTGTCTCCCAGGTGTGAGCAGCCTGGCGGCTGGTGCCCCATCCTGTCGACCACTCCTCCCCACCTTTCAGCTCATTCTCTTCGGATCGTGGATGTGAGACGAGTCTTGTCGAGCTGTGTAGTGCTCTTCTTTGCCGTTTGCATCTTACAGCATTCATTTGAGAGCCATAGTGCATCCACTACAGAGAAGATTTCAGTAATAAACAGCAAAGAGGGAGGTGTTCCCGATTACCAGAAAAATCAGATGTGTAGGGTCCATCAAGTGGACCTGGTCAGGCTCGGGAGGGCCTAACTTCCTTGGTGACTCTCTCTGCTGAGGAAAGCAGACTTTTCTCACCTTTCAGCGTGCAGGGCTTGGGAGCAGTGTATATATCTGAAGTCCTCCCGGGCCCCGAGGGGAGGAAAAGAAGGGAGAGAGGTTCTGACATACGGCAGGCCTGTGAGCCCTGGCCCAGCACAGCCAAAGACTGTCACTGTTTGCCTTTGCTAGGCCTGCTGGGACAGGACGCTGCCTTGCGCAGGGTAATGGAAGCTTCTAGAGGCCAGAGGTCTCAATTGGTGCCTATTTGGGTTCTAACGGTTTTCAGGGTATTTGTTTCTCATGCCCCCTCTGCCAGTGTTGACTTAGGTGGCCGCTGTGCTCTAGGTGGTATGGCCTTCTCGATGGGGCCGGGTAGCTGTGCAGGGGCCGCTGACAGCTTCAGACTCGGATTTCACTGGCAGGGCCTGTCCTCTGTGCCACTGACTTTGGGTTCATAGCTCTTCTTCGGTGTCAGAACCTGCCTTCCTAGGAGTGACTGTCAGTGGCCATCTCTTCGGTGTCTCCACTTGGAGGTCTGGCCCCTGAGTTCTGCCTGGGAAACCTGAGAGGCAGGGGCTGGCCAAGGAGGCTGACCCGGAACCAGCTCGCCCTGCTGGGCTTCTCCTCCCTCCTAGAGATCCCAGTCCCCAGCTTCCCCACCTTCACAGAGCCAAAGATCAGAGGCGAGTGCTCTGACTCGCCTGCCCCCCGGCTGCCCGCAGCCCAGAAAAAGCCGAGACTCTAGTGGTAACCCTTTTCTGTTGGAGGCTGGAGAAGGCCAGAGGGCGAGCCAGGAGCCCTATCCAACCGCTCATGGGGAGATGTTCTGTCGAGGGTGGAGAAGGGGAAAACTGAGAGGTGAGGAGCCAGAGTCCTTCGGTGACCTTGAAGCAACTTCAGGACGTCACTTTTCTAAGAATGCAGAGGGAAATGTTCTGGAAGCCACAGGCATGGGAATTCCAGATTGCATCTCGGATGGAGATGGCTCTGCATGGTCCCTGCGGGGCGTTTGGGAGGAGGAGGCCCAGGCAGTTGCTGGGGGTCAGGCTACTTCGCCAGCAAGGACTCGGTTGAGAAGGAAGCTACTGCTGATGATGCTGGGGATGCTGCAGAGCTGGCACTCCCGTGGCCTGGCCTGCAGACGCCGCTGTTTCTGGTCTGGTCACGGCTTGGCTAATTTCAAGGGAGTCTTAGGTCATGGCTTTATTTTTGCTAAGAGATGAAGTTTATGGAAGTTCTTGTGTGTAGGGCCTTTGTCAATGGGAACATTCTGCTCGGAGAAAATATTTCTTCTCTCCTTGTCAGTTGGTGGTACTGCTCATTTCCTTCGACACCCAGGCTGAGAGGCTGTCTTCGCTTCAGAGCCAGCCACGCCCTTGGCCCGCCATCCTTTCATCAGCCCTTGCCAGGCTCTCCTGCACAGACAGGCTTCCATAGTCCTGTGTCCAAGTTTGGGGTAACTAAGTCTTTAATGCGCCAGTAGCCAGGCAATCTTTAGACCTAGCCCTCTGCTCTTTGGGGTGCACATGACTCTCTGGATTGGGCACTGGCTACTTCCCTTTCAATTTTTTAATCTTTTCCCCTGTTTAGTTGACTTGGCAAGGTTCCTTCTGTACTTACCTCACTAATTCATGCTCTTGGTCACCTTTCCTTTGTTTTGGCCCCCACCCCCCCTCCCCTGCGTGAGCATCATGGTGCTATGTGCCGGACAGCCAGGTAAGGGCTGTGACAGCCTCAAATCTGATTGAGATCCTTCCACAGAACCAACTAGAGGCCACAGGTACGAAGCAGAATTGCCTGGCTAACTGCTTGACTTCCCTTCTGTTACGTATAGCGTGCTGGGCCAGGAGATCTTAGTAATGTAGTGGAGAGTCACATATTCCTTTCCCATCGCAGAGACCCTGCATGCTGAGAGGCCCACTTTTGGCACCTGAGCAGTCGTAGGGTGTCCTTTCCTGCAAGGGAGCGAGGTCCTGACCCACCACACCACCCCTGCCACTGGTTACCCCATACCACTGCCCCCACCCCCACCCCTGGGCTTTTCCTGTGGACTTAACACCAGCATTTTGCGTCACGGTCTTGTTTTGTTTTTGCATGCAGAAAACAGAACGTGACATTTTAGAAATTAAAAGAAAAAGCTGCTAGCTGAGTGACTGGCCTCATTGGCTCTTTGCTAACGTCTGAGCTGATTCTGCTTTTGACTTACTCCCATAATGGCCCCTTTTGAAGTCAGTCAAGTCCTTTGGCCCTTGACTAAGTCATGAAATGGAAATACAGTGAGTTCTGGGTCCTCACAGTACAGAATGCAGTCCTAGTGGAGAAATGGGGCTCCTTGGATGTGCTGAGAAATAGGAGAGCAGAGTGGCTTCAGTGGATATGAAGGGGATTTTAGTGCAAAAACTGGTGCAGGATGAATTGTGGAGTACTGTTCCAGAACATGGGTAGGCTGGCCCTACCTGACTTCTAGCAGTTGCCAACTACACCCCCTCTGCAGGTCCCCCTCCCATAGTGGCAGCTGCCTGACCCTCTGTAGGCTCTGCTCTAAGATTTGGTGGGTTCCGGCTCCCTGTAGCAACAGGTCTTTGCCTTGCTCCTGAGACCTAGACCTCTCCTTGTTTGTTCCCAGGCTCTGCTCTGCTCTCTCACTCCGTGATGTCATGTCACCTGTAGTCTTCTCTCCTGAATTCCCGAACTGAGACTTTGCTCCTTCGGGGTCACCTCCCCCATGCTTCCTCTTCTCCCACTCCTGCGCTGCTGTTTACTGAAATTGCCTGCTCCTTTAGCCCAGTTCCCTGACCTCCTCTCTTTGTCTCAGCCTTCACCTGGGCTGCTTCCTCTCCCTAGCCTAAACCCGTGACCCATCACACATGGACATTTTATCAGGATCCTGAACTTTCTTATCCTCCCCAACTCAAACCTTCCCCTAAAACTGTCAACCGTTCTCCATTTTTGGCATCTGCTTATTTTCTGATCCCTCCTCTTGGGTTGCTAAGCATGGCAGCTTCATAGTTGACACCCTCAGTTGGGCTGTCAACCTTGATGGGTATAGCTTTGGCTTGTAATTGCGCTGCTATCTGTCCATGCCCCCCATCTTTGCTCTCAGCAAGTGACTGACCCCATTGCCTCCTTCACAGAACAGAGTCCCTAAGGTGAGAACCTCCCTGCGCACGTGCTCTTCTCTCCCTCCCATCTGTGTCTGCATCCCTCCTCAGATCCTTGCCTTCTGCTCCCGTTTGGTGCTCTGTTTCTTGAATCCTGCTCTATGGCCTCCGAGACTTATCCGTTATCCCACCACTCCCACTTCCTGGGCCTCAGCCTCCTTCTCCATCAGTGGCTCCACAAAGCCTCTAAACAAGCAGAGGTCTCCTCCATACTAAAACAAAGCTGCTTAGAGTCGGTTGCCCCTTACCCATTTTCCTTATTAGCCAAGTTTCTTTAAAAAAGGATTTTTTCCCATTAATCCTTTTCACTTCTCAACCCTCTACAGCTTTTCACGAGTCACCAGTGACCACCCAGTTGCCAAATCGAAAGAATACCTTTCAGTCCTCAACTGTCTTGATGTCTCCACAGCATTTCACACCACCCACCCTTTGCTCTCTGAGACAGCCCATTCACATGGCTTTTCTGACACCACAGGCGTCTGGGCTCTTCTCTTACCTCTTGGCCACACAGGCTGAGCCTTTCTTGAAGTCTTGACAAGGGAACACATCTGCAGCTCCTTGCGGTCTCCCCTCTTCAGTCCCTGGGCCGTCAGGAGGAAGCCTGGCTGTTCCTGCCCCCCACCCTCTGTGTCCGCCTGTTTTCCTTGAGTCCATCTCTCTCCCTGGACTCTGTTCTCCCCATGCCAGTTATGTTTATAAGCTCTCCTGGCAGGACAGCATCTGCAAGCCTTTCCCTCTGCCTTTGCCAGTGTAGCATGGAGACAGATTTTAGCTACGTTCACCAAGAGGTCCCATCCAAATCAGCCTAAGAATGTGGATTGAGTCTTCTCCAGAAGCAGTTTGGTAAATGGGATTCCCAGGCTGGTGGGCAGCTCATCGCCATGATCCCCCTACCAGTTAGAGCCAGCCACAGTTGGTGAGGCGCTTGGGATCATGATAAAACATGTTTCCATGCACGGGTCATTGTGCTACTGGTCAGGAGGAGAATCCTGGCAGGGGTGGCTGTCTGCCACTGGTAGCGGTCTGGTCGAGGGAAAACTGAGAAGTGCTGGGATTCATCCCTTGCTTGGGGCTCAGCTGAGGTCAGCTGGGCCTCTTTTGGCCAGGTCTGTCCCATCTGTGCTGGTATCAGCCCCTGCATGCTCCAGCTGTTCCTAGAGCAGGACGCAAGGTGTCGGGTGTTTTCTTGGAGATGGGGTGAGATAGTAGAAAGTGACCTGATTTGAGATGCTGAACACCTAAATTTTGGCTGTGCCAGTTATGAGCTATGTGACACTGGGTACAGTTTCCCCATCTATGAAGTTGGTTGGGGGAGGGGGTTGAAAACAGTGATCTCTCAGAGGCTGTGCTACTGGAAAGCTGGTGGTAGTGATTCTAACTCTAAAGCTCAGGCCCCACAGGGAGCAATTAATGGGGGTAGGACATAGCTGGGGAGTCTTGGCCAAGGCAGGACAAAGGGACTCACAGGCTAGACTGAGCTGCTTTGAGGAAAGCAGCTTTGAGCTGCTTCTTGAGCCATATGCCCATTCCTCAAGCTGCACCTCTTTCTTGGATATCTAGGGTGAGTTCCTCTTGGGCCTTTTCCAGAAGCAGCCACTGGATCCAAAGTGGTTGAGGGCAGGAGGGAGGAATACTGTAAAGGGAAATGTCACTGATCTTAAAAGGACCTACACATTCAAGAACAAATTAAAAAATAGCACTTTTCTTTACCAATAATTGTGTCCTGGAGTGTTTCTTCAGTAATTATGGTCGAACCTACTTCATGGTCTTCTTGCCCC